ACGACATCCTCCATATTAATAGATCGAAGAGAAGAGGTGGTGGCGTTGCACTCATCTACAAACAGTCGAGTGTGGTCAAATACCAGCCAAGTACGACATCCTCCATATTAATAGATGAAAGAGAAGAGGTGGTGGCGTTGCACTCATCTACAAACAGTCGAGTGTGGTCAGATACCAGCCAAGTACGACATCCTCCATATTGATAGATCGAAGAGAAGAGGTGGTGGCGTTGCACTCTTCTACAAACAGTCGAGTGTGGTCAGATACCAGCCAACCCAGATAGCATTCAGACGTTGGCCCAACGTCGGCAATGGTTGGCAGTGTCGCGGTCTGATTTTATACGTTGGCCCAACGTTGTTACAACGTTAGGTCGCATTTCGGAAATTATTTCCAAGGGGCGCTACTCGTAATTGACAGCTTCACTAAGAGGGCGCTGCGTTTTTTGCGCCTCTCAACGAGCAGACGACGAGACACAAGCACACGTTCGATCATCGGAATACTGTTTTCCTCGAATATATGGAGGTAAGTGTTTAATCAATATCTAATATGATGTACAAACAGTACCCGAGAATAAAACAACCATTGTTCATTCAGAAATATCAACACGAGTAATTATTTTCCAGAAATTGAAAACACCACAAACTTCATGACCCGAAGCCAAATAGGAATATGTCACTCTGATTGCTTGCAAATATATAGCTTACTATTACTAGCATACCCCCAAAAAAGTCGCGCTTGTCCGTGTCATAAAGTTTGTCGTGATCGTGAGGACAAGTTAGTGCAAAGAAATGTGCACCGTGTCGCGTAAGTTCAGATGGAGTGTCGATCTCAGCTGTTTCTAACAGTTGGTGGTCACCGGACAGCGAGCGACCACATGACTACCTAAACAAACACTGACTGTGGTATTTGTAAATGAATACTGGTTGTTTCTATTCTCGTGGAAGTTTAAAAATAACAAGCAAACTCAACTGAAAAGGTCAATTTCGTTCTCGCTTGTGAAATTTTACGGTCAAAAAGATCAACTAAACTGAACAATTCAGAACGAGGCTTCCAAAACTCAAAGCATTCCGTGTACATGATAAAATAATACCATGCAGACTCCTACTGATCAGTGTACGGAGCTTTTCCCTGTTGTCGGCAACATCGCGAGTTCAGTTTTCGATCACAAATCAGTGGCCGTGGGATTGTGTTTGTTGTTATTTGAAAGGGATTGATAATGGCATAATCGCTTTTTTGATTTGTGCATACCGCGGGGGAGTAATGGTTAGAACGAAGGGAACGTATTGGATTAGATTGGGTACGAAATAGTCATGAAATCATTTCCGATTGAGAATAATATATTTCAATAAATATTTACAGAGCTGTTTCAGCTTCATCTGGTGTTGTCTCCGATATCGCATTTTGTTAATTTTTCCAACGTTACTATCTTTGTAAATGTTAGAACTTAGATATCATGGCATATTTATATGGAAAATATTCATATTTATATTTTTAAAATAAAATAGAATCTAAAATCACGATTTTAATTTAATACCAGTGTTAACACTTCTATTACTTATTGGAAGGTCAATTCATAATCTTATTCAACATTCATGCTTCCAACGTTGGAACTCTTTATTTGGCAATATATAATTTTCATTTATTTGTTTATTTTTCACATCAGATTTTAGAAACTTTGCCAACATATGCATGCTATTTTGCATTATTTTTTACTTGATCACAAGTTTGTGAGGTACAGCAGAAAGGTAAAGTTATTGCTTTTGAATAATTACAGTTGATTTCTATTGGCTGATAAAACTATTTGCCAAAGTAACACCACTCACATCATACTGTTAGTAAATCAGATTTATCTCTACTGATTTATTTGAGAATGTGATACTTTGAGATTTCTATTTTTCTTTCAGGTGGAGTTTACAGTATTGTGGAAGCATATTTGTTTACATCACATCACAGCCAGAAAGGTATACATGATGCAATAATATATTTCAAACATCTTCAATAATAAAAATTTAGATGATTCTTATTTAATTACACCCCCAATCTAAAAGGGCGGGTGATCAAGTTTATCTGTCCGTCCTTCCTTCCAAAGACATTTTTGTGTGTGAGTGCAGTGCAAAGTAAAGTTTGATTTTGATATGTATATTTTCTGAAAAAAATAAGATTCTTTAAATGTTTTTGACTTCAACTATTTCTTTTTATTTCAACCTTTGTGCGACCTATCACTTGAACACTACTTCATGGATTCTTTTCCAATTATGGGTACAGTTTCTACACCCACAGGAGAGGTGCAGTGTGAAGTTTGGTTTTGATTAGTGTATTTTCTAAGAAAATATAGCTTTTGTTATGATTTGAACTTAAAATATTTTTTATTTCAACAATTGTGCTACCTATAACTTGAGATCTACTAGAGAACATGGATTCTGTCCAAATTTAACGAACACTTTTATATTAAAAAATGGGATGCACAGCAAAGGTTGATTTTGATATGTGTATTTTATTAAACAATATAATTTTTGTACATGTTTTGAACTTAAAATGTTTTTTTTTTAATTCAACATTGTGCGACCTTTAACTTGAGAACTGCTGCATGGATTCTTTCCAAATTTAAGAAACACTTTCTATAGTAATAAAAGAGGTACAGTGAAAATGTTGATTTTGATATGTGTATTTTCAGAAAAAAATATGATTTGTTTCATGTTTTGAACTTAGAATTATTTTCTTCAACATTTGTGAGACCTATAACTTGATGTGCAGTGCAAAGTTTGATTTTGATAATTATGCTTTTTCTATGTTTTAAACTTTGGAAAATGAATGAGTCTTTACTCTTGTTCATTTAGTGTTAATAGCTTTTCTGCCTATCTATGATTCAAGAGCATCATGGTATTACTGTCTATGCTACCTTCCCAGTTTTAGCAGTTTTTAACAGTTTTATGACTTGGATGGGTGGAGGTAGCACTGCTGAGACTTTTTTTCATACATCAAATTATTATTTAGGGGAAGGCAACCATTTTGTATGTAAAAAATGTCCCTTGCCTTATCATTATTATAATTGTGTCATTGTTTTATTCAGTTACCAAGGCACACGGACCGTGGATACAGTTGAAGATCATCCCTGTGTTAAGTTCTTCTGACATCTGAGGATTGAAAAGGCTCCTCAACCACTCAGCCCAAGTTCTGATTTGTCATGTAACAAATAAATAAAGGTCACCGAAACCAGAATTCTATTGTCATTTTGTTGCTGTTATCATATTTTTTAATAGATCAAGTATATTGATCATAGGACATCCTATGCATGGACTATTTTGCTTGTCTCAGCGTTGCCCTAATGCTGAATGTATGGGGTAAGGCCAAGAAAAATTAAATGTTTCAATTTGTGGCAGGCTTATTGTCTGATGGTTTTTAATTTGGAAACTTGTGGGAAAATCATTTATCTTTTAATAGTGTTGAAACATTTGTGAACAATTTGCACATAGTCTTGAAAATGGTTTTGGAAAGTAAATATTATAGCACGAAATTGCACGTGTAATTTGAAACATTTTGAATTTTTTCTTGGCCCTATTTCAATCTATGTATGCTGAGGTACCCTGCCAGAAGAGAGCGCATTTCATTGGCATGTTCTTTCATGGAAAGAGTTCAGAGTGAATCTAACTTGCAGAATGTATTGCTTGTTACCTGATGTCTTAACTACCTTGGTACAAACATTTCAGGCTGCCTGGGAGGTATAGTGAGGAATAAAACAGACGTAATCCAACGTTGGCCATCAACGTTGGGCCAATGTTGGCTATCAACGTTGGCCCAACGTCATTCTGACCGGCGGCCCAACGTTTGGCCAACGTTGGCTGAACATCGTTGTCCCAACGTTGGGTCAACGTTGGCCCAACGTTGGCAAAGAAACGTTGGCCCAACGTTGGGTCAACGTTGGACCAACGATGTTCGGCCAACGTTGGCCCAACGTTGGGCCGCCGGTCAAAATGACGTTGGGCCAACGTTGATAGCCAACGTTGGCCCAACGTAAGTGATAACGTTGGCCCAACGTTGGCCCAACGTCTGACTGCTATCTGGGAAGTACAACATCCTCCATATTAATAGATCGAAGAGAAGAGGTGGTGGCGTTGCACTCATCTACAAACAGTCGAGTGTGGTCAAATACCAGCCAAGTACGACATCCTCCATATTAATAGATCTAGGAGAAGAGGTGGTGGCGTTGCACTCATCTACAAACAATCGAGTGTGGTCAGATACCAGCCAAGTACGACATCCTCCATATTGATAGATCGAAGAGAAGACCCAGCTAACACACGACGTTGTCACAACGTTGTGGAAAGGTTGTGGATTGGTAACGTCGTGATATTACGTTGTCACAACGTTGTTATAACGTCAACGTGCAACGTTATTTCACAACGTTATAACAACGTTGCACATTCACGTCGTGAAAACGTTGTGCATTGGACATCACATAACGTTTTGTAGCTACGTTTCTGAAACGTCGGTGAAACGTTATAGAGTTTGCTTCTCGATAGTCATAAAGGAATAGAACTGCTTTATCAAAATCAACATGAATTTGTCAGAATACCAAGGCAGTAATGCATTACCTTTCTTTATATTCGGTATTGAAATTTTCATCTCTTAATACTAAAATTTCCAGAACGTAATTGCGTATCTCTATGACAACGTTATTCCACAACGTAACAACAACGTTGCAAACTAACGTTGTGATAACGTTGTGCTTTGGACATTACAACACTTTTTGTAAATGATGTTTAGGAAACCACTTGTAGATCTACCATCTCTTAGTTTTATTTTTTTTAAACATATATATCTATAACGAAGTTATCTATCTACTAAATGTTGTCACAAGCAATATTACAGTTAAAAACAATTGCGCCCATTTTTTGCGGCGTGAGAGCGACTGCTGAAAAGTTTAGCCTGTTGCCTCGTGAAGTGACGTCAGAATGACGTAACATTGTCGCGGAAGATTTGTTGTCACCAGCCATCTTAGTTCAAGCTCACTATAGACGTATTAGAAGTATACAACCAAGAGATTGTGCAGCAACTGGAACTGGACAGATGATCTGTGAATTCGGATGAGGTAAGTTAATTTTTCAGAAGCAGCCTCCGCTTGTTGATATGTTTCTGTACATGCAGATAGTCAAATTATTTAAATGTATCGTATTATTCAGCAGTGGCAGGGTTTAGAATGCAGTTTGCCGGTCACTTTCACTGAGCGTCAGTGTTGATATTAATATTTGATACACAGAACATAATGTATATAGAGGTGAAGGAGGCCCAAGCCTTTTTTTCCATATTATTATTTTATGGATACCACGGGTAATTACCAAGGGCAAGCAGTATATGTTTGACCAGAATTCAATCTGGCGGCGTGTTGTGGCCGTCATATTATGTTCGGATTTCGATCGTAAACGTGTAGGTCTGTAAATAGGCCTAACGTATGCATCGCCTACTGACCACTGACAGTTATCGCCATTTCTTCCGTGTTATTTCGGAAATCATTACTATTCAGAGTTTACTTGTACTAATCTTCGGACTTTGATTTTTGTGAAACAATGTGGCTCATTCGGGCCATTGGAAAGGTTTAGTAGATTTCTCTTATACGGCGAAGAGAGGGAATCAAAACAATGGAAGTATTTTCAGATCGACTCTCTGTAGGCTAGGGTACTAGTTATAGCCTTAGTCTTAATGCGCTCAATGATGTTATGAAAAATTGTATTTTCGGGAAGAGATAGAAACATACTTGTCGTTTCCGAAAAGGCCTAATTAGCACTGACTGAAGTAGCCTAAATGTCGACTATCAGGTCGTTGGTGCTGTCTATACATTTTATTTTAGCAAGGCTCTTAGCATAGTGTATTTTTATTATTTCCAAAAAAGAATCAATTCATCATTTTCCGATAACTGGATCTATGTCCGACTCCCTTCTAATGAAAACGAGCAAAAGTAAAACGAGTCTCTCGTCGCGCGCTATAACGGGGTGTTTGAGGTATTGTCAAACATTGGTGATGATAAGCTAGTCGATAGTCAAAAGTTAAATATCAACATATATTGTCAGTGAGTTGGTCATCGTTTGTTGATTAAGGTGAAATAGGTGTAGCCAGTGTGCACCAATGAAAAATACAATGGAATTGATAGCAACCCTATTCGTTCGGTTTTCGATCTCCATATGTTGCCACGTAGGCTACCATACTAGGTCTACAGAATTATATTTAACGATATTGAACTGTATTATGTTAATAAACGTAGTAACAAATACATTTCAATAAATATTTACAGAGCTGTTTCAACTTTGTCTGGTATTGTATAAGCTATTGCATTTTGTTAATTTTCCCATGTTTCTATCTTTGTAAATATTAGGACATAGATTCTATATAAATATCCTGGCATATTACTATGGAAAATATTAAGGTTAGTATTAAAAAAATAATCCCAATTTTAATTAGGATAAATACCCCAAAGTGTTAACACTTCTATTCATAATTCATATTCAACATTCATGCTTCAAATATAGGAACTATTTATTTAATTTGGCAATATATATTTTTCATTTATCAGCGTCAGAAATTGGCAGTAGTCCTGTAGTCCTTACCAAACTGCCCAATAGTAAAGGTATCCTAAGGACTACTTGAAATTGGCCAATTTTAAGGGTTTTGTTATATGTTGTCATTATAAGGACTAGTGGACAAAAACTGTTAGTTTCTAACCCTGTTTATGTATATATTTTTAGAAGGTTTTAGAAACTTGGCCAACATATTCACTTGAATCCCTAGTTTGTGATGTACAGCAGAAAGGTAAAGTCACTGCTTTTGAATAACTACAGTTGATCTATTGACTGATAAAACTATTTGCCAATATAACCACCAGTTACATCATAATCTAAGTAAATGTGATTTAACTATACAGTACTGGTTTATTTAAAAATGTGATACTTTGTGGTTTCTGTTTTTCTTTCAGGTGGAGAAAACAGTATTGTGGGAGCATATTTGTTTAAAGTACATCACTGACAGAAAGGTATGTATGATGCAATAATATATACACACATCTTCAAGGTTTAAAATTTAGATGATTCATATTTAATTATACCCACAATCTAAAAGGGCGGGGGTTTAAAGTTACACCAATGATTCAGTGCTAAAAGCTTTTCTGCCTATGTATGATCCAAGAGCATCACGGTATTACTGTCAGCGCCTTCTTCGCACTTTCAGCAGTTTTTAACTGTTTAAAGACTGACATCAGACATCAAAATATTATTTTGGGGAATGCAACAATTATTTTGTTAGGTCAGAAATATGTCCCTTGCCTTGCCATTTTATAACATTTGTGTCATTTTTTATTCAGTTACCAAGGCTTAAGGAGAGACTATGGATGCAGTTGAAGATCATCCCTGTGACTTTTCATTAGAGGACTGAAAAGGCTCCTCAGCCACTCAGCCGAAGTTCTGACTTGTCATTTAATAAATAAATAAAGGTCAACTCAACCAGAATTCTATTGTCATTTCGTTGCTGAGAAATTGATCTTAGGACATCAGATGCATAGACTATTCTGTTTGTCACAGTGTTGCTCTCAATGCTGAATGTATGGGGTAAGGCCAAGAAAATTTAAATGTTTTAATTTGTGCAGGGCTTATTGTTTGATGGTTTTTAATTTGCAAATTCGTGTGAAAATCAAATATCTTTTAATTGTGTTGAAACATTTGTGAACAATTTGCACATAGCCTTGAAAACTGTTTGGGAAAATAAATATTATTTAACCAAACTGTACATGTAATTAAAAACATTTAGATTTTTATCTTGGCCATATTTCAAACTCTGCCAAAAGAGAGTGCATTTCATTGACTTGCTGTTTCACGGATAGGGTTAAATTGAATTCAGTTTGCAGAATGTATTGCTTGGTACCTGATGTCTTAACTAGATTGGTACCTGATGTCTTAACTAGATGGTACAAACGTTTCAGGCTGCCTGGGAGGTATTGAGGAATAAGACAGGCGTTAATCTACAAGGACATTGCAACAACGTGCTGCAATGGCTGTAGTGTCGCCATATGTATGCGATACCTACGTTGTCGCGACATTTTGGATAAACATTGTAGCAACGTAAAAAATGGATGTTGTGACAACGTCTTGATTTGGTTGTATTTTGGTTTACGCACAACGTTGTAGCAACCAATCTGGGAGTCTACAGATTAACGTCGTGACAACGTTACATCACAACGTTTTAGCAACGAAAAGTCAACGTTGTCACAACGTAGAATTGTTTGCTGGGGAGGTGGCGGCGTTGCACTCATCTACAAACAGTCGAGTGTGGTCAGATACCAGCCAAGTACGACATCCTCCATATTGATAGATCGAAGAGAAGAGGTGGTGGCGTTGCACTCATCTACAAACAGTCGAGTGTGGTCAAATACCAGCCAAGTACGACATCCTCCATATTAATAGATCGAAGAGAAGAGGTGGTGGCGTTGCACTCATCTACAAACAGTCGAGTGTGGTCAAATACCAGCCAAGTACAACATCCTCCATATTGATAGATCGAAGAGAAGAGGTGGTGGCGTTGCACTCATCTACAAACAGTCGAGTGTGGTCAAATACCAGCCAAGTACGACATCCTCCATATTAATAGATCGAAGAGAAGAGGTGGTGGCGTTGCACTCATCTACAAACAGTCGAGTGTGGTCAGATACCAGCCAAGTACGACATCCTCCATATTAATAGATCGAAGAGAAGAGGTGGTGGCGTTGCACTCATCTACAAACAATCGAGTGTGGTCAAATACCAGCCAAGTACGACATCCTCCATATTAATAGATCTAAGAGAAGAGGTGGCGGCGTTGCACTCATCTACAAACAGTCGAGTGTGATCAAATACCAGCCAAGTACAACATCCTCCATATTGATAGATCGAAGAGAAGAGGTGGTGGCGTTGCACTCATCTACAAACAGTCGAGTGTGATCAAATACCAGCCAAGTACAACATCCTCCATATTAATAGATCGAAGAGAAGAGGTGGTGGCGTTGCACTCATCTACAAACAATCGAGTGTGGTCAGATACCAGCCAAGTACAACATCCTCCATATTGATAGATCGAAGAGAAGAGGTGGTGGCGTTGCACTCATCTACAAACAATCGAGTGTGGTCAGATACCAGCCAAGTACGACATCCTCCATATTAATAGATCTAGGAGAAGAGGTGGTGGCGTTGCACTCATCTACAAACAGTCGAGTGTGGTCAGATACCAGCCAAGTACGACATCCTCCATATTAATAGATCGAAGAGAAGAGGTGGTGGCGTTGCACTCATCTACAAACAGTCGAGTGTGGTCAGATACCAGCCAAGTACGACATCCTCCATATTGATAGATCGAAGAGAAGAGGTGGTGGCGTTGCACTCATCTACAAACAATCGAGTGTGGTCAGATACCAGCCAAGTACAACATCCTCCATATTGATAGATCGAAGAGAAGAGGTGGTGGCGTTGCACTCATCTACAAACAATCGAGTGTGGTCAGATACCAGCCAAGTACAACATCCTCCATGTTAACAGACCTAAAAGAAGAGGTGGTGGCGTTGCACTCATCTACAAACAGTCGAGTGTGGTCAGATACCAGCCAAGTACGACATCCTCCATATTAATAGATCGAAGAGAAGAGGTGGTGGCGTTGTACTCATCTACAAACAGTCGAGTGTGGTCAGATACCAGCCAAGTACGACATCCTCCATATTAATAGATCGAAGAGAAGAGGTGGTGGCGTTGCACTCATCTACAAACAGTCGAGTGTGGTCAGATACCAGCCAAGTACGACATCCTCCATATTAATAGATCGAAGAGAAGAGGTGGTGGCGTTGCACTCATCTACAAACAGTCGAGTGTGGTCAGATACCAGCCAAGTACGACATCCTCCATATTAATAGATCGAAGAGAAGAGGTGGTGGCGTTGCACTCATCTACAAACAGTCGAGTGTGGATAGATACCAGCTAAGTACGACATCCTCCATATTAATGGATCTAAGAGAAGAGGTGGTGGCGTTGCACTCATCTACAAACAGTCGAGTGTGGTCAAATACCAGCCAAGTACGACATCCTCCATATTAATAGATCAAAGAGAAGAGGTGGTGGCGTTGCACTCATCTACAAACAGTCGAGTGTTGTCAGATACCAGCCAAGTACGACATCCTCCATATTAATAGATGAAACCAAACTGAGACATTCTGTAGCCTTCAATTCACTTGATGATGTTCATTTCACATGTAAAGTCGGAAGTGGTATGCTGGGGATAGTGGTTCTTTACAGACCACCACCTTCACAGTAAAACAAACAAACCTACAGTGACTGTCTCCGTGATCTCTCCGACCTTCCTCAATGTATAGCCACGGAGCCAATCATTTTGTTCTTTTGGGGAGTTTCAATATTCATGATGACGTCGCTTCGGTTGACAGAATCAACATTTCCAGAAGTTCACACACTACGATACACTAGGTCACACACTACGGAGCCACACTAGGTCACACACTTTGATACACACTAGGTCACACACTACGATACACACTAGGTCAAACAGTACGATAGTCACTAGGTCACACCTTGATATACTAGGTCACACACTACGATACACGCAAGAATAGAACTACGATACACACTAGGATAGAACCACGATACACACTGGGATAGAACTATGATACACACTAGGATAGCTTTACAATACACACAAGGACAGAACTACGATACACACTAGGCTACCTCTACGATACACACAAGGATAGAGTTACGATACAAACTAGGCTAGCACGACGATACACAAAAACAGAACTACGATACACACTAGGATAGAATTACGATACACACAAGGATAGAGTTACGATACACAAAAGGCTAGAACTACGATACACACAAGGATAGCACTACGATACACAAAAGGCTAGAACTACGATACACACTAGGATAGCACTACGATACACACTAGGATAGCACTACGATACACAAAAGGCTAGAACTACGATACGCACTAGGATAGCACTACGATACACACAAGGATAGCACTACGATACACAAAAGGCTAGAACTACGATACACACTAGGATAGCACTACGATACACACAAGGATACCTTTACGATACACACCAGGCTAGAACTACGATACTTACTATGACAGAACTACGATGCACACTAGGATACAACTATGATTCACACTAGGCTGGCACAACGATTCACAAAAGGTTAGAACTACGATACACACTAGGATAGCACTACGATACACACAAGGATACCTTTACGATACACACCAGGCTAGAACTACGATACTTACTAAGACAGAACTACGATGCACACTAAGATACAACTATGATTCACACTAGGCTAGCACTACGATTAACACTAGGCTAGAACGTCGACACACACAAGAACAGCACTATGATACACACTAGGATAACTCTATGACACCCACTAGGATAGAACTACGATCTTATAGATCTCACACATATTTGACTTATTACCCACACATATACCACCAACGAACATGGTACAATATAAACATAGAAATGTCCAAACGATCCAAGCCCTGTTAATGGTGACGAGGACAACTGCCACTTGTGACGACAACAGTCTCCACGGCACAGGTGGCAGCGTAAATCCAGATCCAGATGTTCCAGCTTTGTTTAGGATAAAACACGTGTAACGTGAAGGATAAAACACGTCAGAAGTGACAGCGTAAAGACGACAGATCCAGATGTTGCAGGCTCGTTTAGGATATAAACACATTTTTAACATGTAGGATAAAACACGTCAGAGGGTAAGTGTTTTATCTAACTTATAAACCGAAACAAGAAACTGAACAGACCATTTATCAACACGTTTTTGCTTTAAACCTACTTGCAATGAACCTTAAGAAACGGGCGTAAAATATCTGTGGCTGGGATACGGGTCCTTTCTCAAAAGTATTGAGATTTGTCAGCGCCTCTGTAGCTGCGGCTACAGGTACAAAGGTTGCATGTTCGATCCGCGGGAATATAAAGAAAACATTTATCATTCAATTTTACAGTGCAATACATTGTCGCAAAATAAATTTCCAGCGAGAAACATTCATATCTTACAATATCAAAGGAAGTTCTATGCATAAGATTCCAGGGATATTATAACATCCCTCTGTTTGAGATCTGACCCCACTGGAGAACAATAGGATGACATCACTGGACGTTGATAAAGTGTAGGGGAGCACTACAACACACATTAGGATACACACATTAGGATACACACACTAGGATAGACATTTGGATGCAAGATACGACACACTCCAGGTTAACACTACAACACACATTAGAATACACACACTAGGATAGACATTTGGATGCAAGATACGACACACTCAAGGTTAACACTACAACACACATTAGAATACACACACTAGGATAGACATTTGGA